ACAAGCTCAAGGGTCCACTTTGTATCGAAGGTCCAACATTTTTCTTTAAAAATGGCCCCCAGTGTCATGTACTCGTCCTATTCGGTCCTACCATCTTTTGGGGGTCGTCATGTAGGCCTATGGTTTTCAAAGTCCTGCTGGTAGGCCTCGTATACAAAAGAGCTAGTGGGTCTTCTCTGAACGTGACCAAACCACCCCAGCCTTCTTTTACGACTATCCTCAATAATTGCATTCTCCCTTCCAAGCATAGGCCGGATTTCCTCGTTTTTAATGTGGTCTCTCCTTGAGACATTCAGGATAGCCCGCAGACATCTCATTTCAAAAGCCAAAAGGAGTTGTTCATCACTTTTTTTTCAATGTCCAAGTCTCACAAACATAAAGTGGATATTAGGAAAATAAGAGCATGCAGCAGACGGGTTTTGAGGTGTCTACTGACCTCCGTCCTATTCCACACTGATTTCCTGAGTCTGCCAAAGGCGTGCGGTGGGATTGAACTACACTGAATGGATAGGATGTCCTTGTGACGATAAAGGCCATACGGCAAATGTTCCTATTAAGATTACGAGCCTCCCATGCTCCATGTGTGCGCACTCGGCCATGAAGGTCGCTTATGGGAGAACCTTGGTGAGAATTTTATCCGTGAAATAATAAAAAAAATGCAATTTGAAGTTACAGGCACGTAAGGTGTGTAACAAAAACTACATCACAATCTTGATCTTGGCCATGCAATCCTGACGTAACGTTATTAGGATTACCCGTACGCTCACAGACTATTGAAGTGGTGTGTCTTGCAATTGAGGGTTGTGGATTGTGCGTTTTATGTATTCATACGGTACACCGGTACGCTTTGCGCCTGCAGGCTTGTAAGTGCTTGTAGTTGCCGATACATGCGTTGGCTCTAATGAAGTTTAGAGACGAAAAGGAATTACGTGTAGGCTTAAAGTGGCCAACCAGGCGGAAGGAAAGCCCTGTACCGTCACGTGCGAAGTACAGAGAAGGAGTGTTGCATAAGACTCGATTTACACACGCACAGGGCAAAACTTTGAAGTGCCAAACCGCGTACGTACCCAAGCGTACGAAAACTACAAATTCTTAAACAGTATCAAGAAAAACAAGAAGAACAAGTAAACGTGCATAAATTCTAAAAATTCCTACGATCCTTGTTCGTGAGCATGATACTAGAATCATTTTCTTTTCTTTTAAGAAAAAAGAATAATAAAAAACTCTGAAGAATATTTCTTGAATTTTCTTGAAAATACCCTTGACAAAAAAATATTTCTCAACATAAGAAAATAAGAAAAATAAGAACAAAATGGTAGTGTACATACTGCGAATTTTTCCTGCGTGTAAATCGGCCTGCTTTGACGTAAATCGAGAATGTACGTGCAGATCTTACGTTATCAGAGGGCTGGCGTATGATCTGTACGTAGTACGTTGTTTACTTACGTCAACACTGGACCATTTTACGCACGGAAAAAATATTCGATGTTCACAGTACTTCAAGTTATGCCCACGTGTAAAGCATTTCCTTTCCTCATAATGTCACCTTCAAAGTAAGAAAAGCCGTATTGAGAACTCTCCATGGCGTCAGACGGCGGGGGATCGCCGTAATGTCGATGTAAAGGTTAGAGTGATTGACGAAAAATGGCAAGTATCTCTCAACAGAGAGCATTCTACACGGCTGCCATAGTACTTGGAGACTACAAAAAAACGTGCGCTCAATACATTTGCATATACAATGTGGCGCCGATGGCCTGGTAGTTAGGTCAGCGGACACGGGACATTTAGAGCTACATTTAGAGCTTCACCATTTCTGTAGGTCATATGAAAATACGTTTCTTAGAATACATGAGTTCTATTTCTGGGCCCGACGTTGTGTCCTCACTCTACCTAGGTGTAAATGGGCGCCTGGTCGCTTCAGTTGGGAGGTAAAATATAAAAGGTGGTGGAAAAAGTGAGATAGGCTCCGCCTTACAATGCCCAAGGCACAGTGCATATAAACAACCATATATATGACTACATGTTGGAGAATAGTTAAGCCTTAATTGTTGCCGCTGACATATATTCTGTACGTAATTTGCCGCAGGCATATATTCTGTACGTAGGATGACGTTATCCATACATGTATCTAGCTTTGTTAGATCTTTAGTTGTAAAAGAACATACAAAAGTCCTTGTACTTTTTGTTGAGTCAATAAAAAATCTACTATATTGTTCCGGGGCTTTATAAGATTGTGGGCTACCTCTACCACCTTTACCAATGTACAATGTGTTCTTAGAGGTTTTAGTGTAAGAGCAATTTCTTTGTACATTTAGCAAAATGATTCTACAGATGGAAAATGTGGTAAATATGCTTTGTATATGAACGTAATACGTTCTAATTAAAAAATTGTACATGTACAAGTATTAGGTAAAGAGAAAACGGAGAACAAGAATTGACTATAAGAAACGTTAACGCTACTTCCATTTTGGCTCTGCGACTGGCGTCAGCACAATGATTATGTTGGCCTGACATTTCATCCTACAGGACGTACTCAGAGAAAACCAGCAAAGTGATAATCTAGCGTAGTTCCTGTAATCATATCCGTAGGATCTGGTTACGTACCATGGCTGGTCTTTAGGGAAATCAATTTTCTACGGCGGAAAATACCAGACATGGAGAGAGGGGCTTTGGAGATTATTTTCCGAAATGCATCCGAGACGGATTGGTATTTTGGTGAACTTTGTCATATCCACCCGTCGCCTCGCATTCTCTGGAGTTCCAATACCACAGTGGCGTTGCTATGAAGTTTTCATATTACCTTTCTTTATTTTATTCATAACTTCTAAATGTTATGGCCATCAATCACTACTCTCATCCTCAGCCAGTGATATTGTTTTGATTGAGTCCCGATTGGCTTCAATTAATGGTCATCGTGCCCATTTTATGGTTGACTGCACGTCGCAATACCCAATATACGTACTTGTCTGTTTGGGGAGTCCTATACAGTATCGGACGTGCGTCCCAAACCTCGGCCACTTAAGTTAAATAATTGATGACCTATCTTTGCCCTTTTCGGATGTATATTCTATTGTTACAGTGATCTGACATGGGTGATCTTACGGTATATCTTGCCGGCTTTTCCAGCTGCTAGTGGGACTTCTTTAAACTACATAATGGGGAAAATGCATTAAAGGGACGCCCTGGTGTCTAATGATGGTTGGCCTTGGCCGACAACTTTTCATCAATCCTCGCTAATGTAGTTATTGGACGGGACAGAAGGGCCACTATTAGCGTGGTCTGAATCGACCTTCTACGCCCTATGCTGTGTAATTATCTTGTGAAAGGATGCCCTCAATTTGGCGTACGAAACGCCCGTCCTTAGAAAAAGGGCTTGTAAACGGAGCTGGTCAATCAGTCACAGTGCGTGCTCTTATTGGTAATATATACTGTAGAGTCGTAGGTTATTCGTTACAATTTAGTATTTCTTTTCTAGACGAAATCCACGTTTTTGCACTATTCTAAGAGGTTTCTCGAGTAAGAAATTTAATGGTTTCTTAGGATTAAAGATTGTGTCCTTTTAAAATCTATCTTAGAATTCACAATGACAAAAGAGCTTGAGGTTTCTCAAGATAGACCTTCTTTTCCTGAAGTGAATGGAAGATTTTCAGATTTTCATGGATTCATATTTTGTAAACATAATTTACTTTTAAAGGTCCACACATAATCCATCCAGTTAGTTACATAACTGATTTTCCCGTTCATCAAATCATCTGAGCCTCTGCATGTACGTACACAATGGTTGACAGTTTTCATTAATTTATGGTAAATATTGGTCTTTCGTTCCATACTAGTAAATTCTATATCAATTACATTACCAGAATAATACCAGTTTGGTCGTTGGCCACACTGATTTCTCGTGTCTATGTGTATGAATGAAGTATGTTTGAACCATAATTTTCCTCATAGACTAGAAGTAGGGGCTCCCTTGTCTTCCGATATCGTGTGAGACAGACAGAACGTTTCGGCAGGTTCGGCCAGTCTCTCTACAGCCTTCCTTATACCCTACTCTATTTACGTGGACAGACCCTGCCGTAGTGTACTCTTGGTCATCGATATCCTCCACCAGAAACGTATGCCTTTGTACCGGACGACTTTAAAGTAAACTAAATAATATTCTCCATCATAAACGCAGGTCTTTTACGACTTCAAAGTAATCTTAATGATATACAATAAAATAGCTCTCCGAAGAAAAATTAGATAAATTGAGTTTGCCTTCCCACACGATATTTATAAGCTTATATAAGGCATATTTCTAAAATAGATTTTTTTCCAATGTTTCCTTCTGGATTGGAGATCTAGAATCACTCGTATACTCGCCAATGTCTGTTTCTACATACTCTTATTAAAGAGTATTTTTTTTATCTTAAGTATTTTGTGGTGATGTTAAAAAGGACTTACCGATTAATATGTGGTTGACCAAGGTAAACTGGATGCACAGGAAAGCTATGAGAAGGTTTCGCAAAAGTCTGTTTCAACATACTCATATTACAAAGGAAAAGGATTTTCTATCTTGATGATGATAAAAAAGACTTACCGATGAATATGTGGTTGACCAAGGTAAAAGGGATACACAGGAAAGCTATGAGAAGGTCGCTGAGAGCCAGGTTGAAGATGAACATGTCGGTGACTCCCCTCACGTGCCGGTTCGTGGCGATGACCACCACCACTATCAGGTTTCCTATCACCGTCCCCGCAAACACCACCGAGTACCCGACGGAGAACAGCGCGATTGCCGGCTGAGTTTGTTTATACATCCACGACTCGCTTACGTTCACCTCCATGCTGGTATATGCCACGAGGCTCCCAAGTCTCTGTGTAACTCTTCTAGGCCCTAGTCTTCTTGTAGCTGGCTTGCCATAGACGTGTTCGTACCTGTGCTACTACTTGTACTACTCTCTCGTGATAAAAACCTGGCATCATCCAACACGGAGAGAGCGTGCGGTCTCCCTTTGATGTCATTAGCGGCTGCTCCTGATTGGTCACGATTTGAAGCTATGATACCTGTGTGTGTGTGGTACCAACATCAGAAGTACTCTCCAAGCAGAGGTTGTGGGGAACGATCGTTAGGTTTTTATATATATGGTCGTTTTTTGTCGCTACCCCCACCAGGTGGCCGGCGACCTTCTTTGGCTAATGGATACTGCCTGGCCAATTTGATACTGTCTTTTTGCCACCGAAAGGGATCTGCTTGGAGATTATATCAGAAGAGTGTTAGTTTCTACATTCGAGACGAAAGACCATCAAGTTTCTTTGATTCGTCTCACCGAAATAAAAAAAAAGTTTGTTTTTCCGTTACAGCATATTATGGCTATAGTTTCATTTGCTTACAATGAAATAAAAGAAGCAAATATGAACATACCTATGAAAAACTGCTACGGTGTAAGAAGAAAACAACGTGCATCATCTCACGCATACGTACTAGCAGACGACGAGACATGCCCAACTACATACGAATGCAGCACAGAGATCGTGAGTTAGAGCTGCGTACGTACGGACACAACTAACCATAATACAGGTCACTAACCTCAGTCACGGAGTGATAAACAATTATCTCTCGAGTCATTATCACTCCTAGATACTTCCATACAGTCATATGCTGTACAGTCAAACCTATCCAAATCAAAGTGTGTTCTTGAAAAGGAAACATCAATGTAGGATTGCCATTGTAATAGTCTAAAAGCGCCGCCTGATCCTAATAGTAAAAATTGCAATACATATAATGAGCAACATTGAAACTTACAGGACGCAGTGGTGGGTAACTCTAGCAGGTTGCTAATCTTAGCCCCACCACTGACAAAGAAGAGCACGTACAGTGGTAAATAATAATAGCAAAACAAGTAACCGATTTGAGTGAGCAATGTAGGATTAAGTCAAGGTCAAAATATGTCTGTTGGTTTCCGAGCAATACATAATCAATACATATACATACTAGGATTTATTTATTTTATTTATTTATTCAACTTCACAGAATAAAATTCTGAGAGGAGCCGGCAACAGGAACATAGAGTTCCTCTACTAGGCCGACTCCTCTAGAAACATAGACACAAAACAAACAAACAAACAAACAACAATTAAAAAGAGTAATCAAATCAAATCACTAAACAATTATGACATCGACAGGTAGAAGTCCAGGTGCATAAGTTGTCGGTTGAAAATGTGTCATTTAGGCGGGATCTGTAAAACGAAATTAACAGTTTTTTAACAGACGGTAAGCTTAGATTTGAATACATGTGTTGACGTATGGATAATGGTAACATGTTCCAGATTACAGCAATTCGACTAAAATAGGAATGAGAAAAGGTTTCGGTTTTACATGGTCGCGGTACAAGTAGAAATTGGTCTGTTGAGCGGAGAGACCTGGTTGGTATGGATACAGTGAGCACACGAGATATGTTGATACAGTAGAAGTTTCTAAAACATTTGAACAAAAATAAAATGTCAAAAATTTCTCTTCTATAACACAATGGTAAAAGTTCAGTAATCACTAATCTGTCCTTATAACTAACTTCATGATTATTGCAGATATATTTGCTGGCAAGTCTTTGAACACTTTCTAGTTTACGCAGGTGTAACCTTGTATGTGGAGCCCAGACCTGAGAACAGTAGTCTAAATGTGGAATTACAAGTGAACGGTACAGATTTAGTTTAACAGTGAGGGGGGCATTATAACCAACTGATCGCTTGATCATAGCAAGAATTGAGTTACATGTGGATACCTTCTTAAATACATGTGTGTTCCATATAAGGTTGTGTTGTACATGAATGCCTAAGTCGTTATAACAGTCAGATCGGTTTAGTACAGAATCAGCAATGCTATAAGAGTATTCAACTGGTGATAGTTTACGTGTAATGCTAACAACTGTACATTTAGAAGGATGAAATGTCATTTTCCATGCTTCCCCCCAGGCTACAAGGCGATCTAAGTCAGATTGGAATCTAATACAATCAAAAACTGAAGTGATTCTTCTAAAACATTTTGCGTCATCTGCAAACATGGCCATGCGCCCAAACTGAACACAATCAGGTAAGTCGTTAACAAATAACAAAAATAAAAACGGGACCT